ATATTTCTATCTCCATCCACCCATCCTTCTCTTTCTCTCTCCCTCTTTCTGTCTCCCCATCCCTCTCTCGTCTTTCTTTCTTTCTTTCTTCTCAGCCAGTTATAGGCTGAGCTGATGCACGCCACAATAACAGAAATGAATAAACACATGAAGGATTTTGAAGTCAGCCACAAAGATGGTGAAACTGCAGATGAACACTTCTCATGCCAAAAATCATAATGACTGTTTTTCTATGAGGCGTCATAATGAACGGACACTTGATTTACATAATATTAATTTCCCTGCAGTGATCACTTGCAGTCGTGTCCTGTCGTTTCCACATGGGGGTGCTGTTGGTTCAGTCAGACCACCTCGGAGTCCTCAGAAAACCCAGAGAGAAGCGATTGGAAGCAGATTTCATTTAGGAAAAGTCACGTTCACGACGGCGGAGCACAGATAGTTTCTGGCCCTCGAGGAACGTTTTCCTTTAGCTGCTGTCTGGGTCTGAGTGGAGCCTGATACCAGAGGAGGCTGTTTGTCCCTGGTTCACCTGTGTGTCCTTCAAAGTGCCGGAGGTCAGAGGATCTGGTTCTTTACTCTCTGAGTTTACAACAAAGAAAATGACTGAACTCCTTCCAAAGCAATTTATATCATGATGTAATCTTTTTTGTGCTTATTCACTCTCAGTTGTAGTTGATAGTCGACAGATACTTAATCACTTTATCACACGAAGCAGCCTTGGTCCTGAGTCTCGTCCCTGAGACGAATTAGAGAAGTTTGAGGTCTTTCTTCCTTTTATTTGAAATGTTCCGAGGCTCAGTTTGCATATAAGATATTTGGTCGTCTGTAACTTGTCCCTGAAGATCTGCTTCAAATGCAAAATACCTCCAATGGCAGCAGACCTGTTGCTGCTCTGTCCGATTTCTTCTTCTTGTGTTTGAGTGTTGCAGTCGACGCTTTTCGGTCCCTGAGAAATCACATCTGTTTTACCTGCAACAAAAGGTAGCGTCTGTACCGGTGGTGGAAAAGCAAATAGGCGAACGACAGAGTTTGCGGAATTTAGAATATTTATACCAAAGTTTAATTTAAATTTATTTACAATCCTGTAAATAATCTCTTAACCTTTCACAAATGTTCCTGACGCTCCGTCACTGACCTCAACCTGTCTGAGATATTTATCGAACAGTCAGTTGTCTGGAAAGAATATTTATATATTTACAGATGTTGAACTGGAATGAAGACGTCATTCTGGTCTCTGACGTGTGACGACCTGCTGGTGTGTGTGTTTACATTGTGTGTGTGTGTGATTCACCTACAGGGCTCAACTTGTCCCTGCATTCTTCTAGTCAATACAGCCATTTCAGGAAGTACACACACACACACAGACACACACACACACAGAGAAATGGGAATCTGTTCCGAAAACCTCAAAACGACTAACTTTGTGTGTCTGTCTGCAAAAATATGTACGAGGGGTCCAAAATAAATTGAGGACAGTCATGAGAGTTCAGCCTTTCTTCTACCACGTGTACTCTGTTGCCATGGCGGCTACTTGTTACCATAGAGACAAGAGATATGTGCACTTGGTATAAATGAATTGGAATGTGTGTGTTTGCTGGATTGTGTTTTCCTGACATTATTCCAAATACTCTCTCTCTCTCTCTCTCTCTCTCTCTCTCTCTCTCTCTCTCTCTCTCTCTCTCTCTCTGTCTGTCTGTCTGTGTGTGTGTGTGTGTGTGTTGCTCCTGTACTTATCACCTTCCTTGTCACCTCTCCAAATGGACAGATTGTCTCACATCCCAACACCAGATGGTCCCTGCCTTCGTTAGACACTGCAGGATTAAATCC